GCTCAGGTCATGATCCTGGAGTCCCGGGATCGAGTCCCGCATCAGGCTCCCTGCTCAGCAGGGAGTCTGCTTCTCCCTCTGACCCTCCCCCCTCTTGTGCTCTCTCTATCTCATTCTCTCTCAAATAAATGAATAAAATCTTTAAAAAAAAATGCAGTGCAATGACAGTGTGCATCAGCTCTCCTTGGGAAGTAAAGGTTAGGCAGGGGATAAAACACCAGCCCTGAACTTTACAGGTGAGGTGCGCAGAGCTGGGTATTTCAGCAAAAAGATCAGGAGGAGAAAAACAGAGGAGAGAGAATGCACCTTGTGCAGAAAATTCAGAGTAGCTTGGGGTGAGAGAATGAGCTTCACAGGTGGAAGACAGAAGGGTTATGGCAGAGCCTGGAGCCCAATGTGTAGTGAATGGCATACTACTAAGCTTGGATTTATCCAGAGGGGAGCCGCTGATGGGTTTAAATCAAGGAGGGACAGGAGCATGTTTCTGGTTTAGAAAGATCACCTGGTAGGTAGGAAGGAAGGGCCAGAGATGGGAAACTAGCAGGTCCACAGAATTTGAGGGGAAGTGAAAAGGAGGAGCAGGAAGCCTGAGCACTCTGCAGGAAGTAAGATGAAGGATGGAAGGCATGGGAAAGAGAGGGAGGGGTGACTCCATGCGGAGGCCCCTCTACCCCCTGCCCACGGGGACAGCCCTTAGAGAGAGAGGATGTCTTCAGGTTGTGCTTTGTGCCCATGGGACATCCAGGGGACCATCCAGCAGGTGGCTGGAAATGAGGATCCAGAGCTTAAGAGAGGTCTGGGTTGCAGCGAGGGGCGGGGGTGGAGGAGTGGGTGGGAGAGGAGCGAGCCTCAGGCTGGGGATGGGAGGGCTACATGAGGCTCCTCTGCCAGTTGAAGGAGCTGAGAGCCAGGCAGGGCTGGATGCCCCCTGGACCTGGCAGTGCTGTCCTCTGAGCACTTGCTGTTGGCACAGTGGCCCTCACGGGCCTGCTCCACCCCCGGTTGCACCCTCCCTTCTCTGTCCTCTGCTCTCAGCCCTGCCTAGCCACTCCTAGCCCACTGGCAACCCTGAAGGAAGGGAACCCTGGTGTGCACACGAGGCCTCGGCTAGGTCTGAGCATGGCCAACAGTACACCTGGGCTGACCGGGTGGGCTGAGAAAGAGGAAGGACAGCTGGGAGGTGGGGTGACACTGCTGGGAGGGAAGGAAGGGTAAGGGAGGAGTCTGAAGTGTATGGGTCAGGCCAGAGATGGGTGAGTGGATGGCAAGGGAAAGAAGTGGTCACAAGAGGAAGCCAGGAGGCCCCCGCCCTTATCTGGGCTCCAGAACTTGTGTACCCCACTGCCACTGGAGTGGAGACATGTGGCAGGGGAGGGATCTGTGTGGATACATGCAGGGGGGCCTCTCCCATCAGGCTAGCACTCACAATAAGAATCCTCAGCGTCTGGTTGACCCGGAGGCCCAGGCCCAGGCTCAAGGCTCCCACTGCAGAGATGCGGTTGTTGCTGCAACAGAAAGACAGGAGCATTTCGCTACCTTCTGAGGAGCTGTGCAGGTACATCCACCTGGTTGAGCTTCATGTTCCAGCCTCCACTGATGCTCCAGGGACCCTGGGCAGGTCAGTATGTAAAGGCTGGATAGTGACCCTGGGGGGTCCCGGTGTTCAGGGAGAACACTCAGCAAACATACCTAGAGCACCCCTACCCCCAGTGGAGGCCAGCTGCTGTTCCCAGGCCCTCCGAGCTCCGCAGGTCCTCCCACATGTTCTGCGCCAGCAGCACCCCATTCCTATCACCATGACAGCATCTGTTCTGGAAACCACCCAGCTCTGTCCTCACGTCCTCTCCTCCTGCTTCTCTAGATGGACCTAAACTCTGGCCCCAGCACCTCTCTTGGCCACTTTATCTCGGAGCCAGTCCCACTTCCCTCTGACCCCTCAGACCCCAGCTCTGGCCTTGAATTCCAGCACGTCTCATAGCCTCTTCTGGCCTTAGCTCCTTCCACGAGAAGGACAGAATTGCAGCAGGCAGACCCTGCTCACTCCAGCAGGCCCCCAGGGGAAGTGCTCAGCCACAACAGTCCAAGACCTGTTGGGCTTCTGCCTCTTTCTTTCCCTGTGGTTTGTGGCCTCTGCTCTGGTTACTTGCTGAGGGCTGGGATGCTGCCTGAGCTTGGAACAGCAAATCACACACGGCAAGCACCCAGCAGTCATATGCTGAGCAGAGCATGAGCACTCACTCCACACCAGGCTCTGCTGAAGATGTTTTTTGTTTGTTTGTTTTGTTTTGTTTTGTTTGGAAGTAGGCTCTACATCCAGCAAGGACCCCAATGTGGGGCTTGAACTCACGACCCTGAGATCGAGACTGAGCCGAGCTGAGATCAAGAATCAGACACTTAACCGACTAAGCCACCTAGGCATCCTTCTACTGAAGATGTTTTACATATGTGTTTTCAATTCCCAGGCCCCGCCTATGCAGCAGGAATTATGAGATCCAAGGTATAATGCTGAACTTGAGCGAGGAGGACGGAGCTGGGCACTCTTGGATTGTGGCTCAAGCCCCATAATGGGTAGACTGTGGTAGGTTTGGGAGTTAAGGTGGTAAACAGCAGGAGGATCGTGGAGTCCCTGATCCCTCAGGTGACTTTGGACATGGAGGCTGTGACACACCCTATGCACCTCACCTCATGTTGAGTTCCTCCAACACGTTGTTGGTCTTAAGTGCCTCACCCACCGCGGATGCTCCAGGATCTCCAAAACCATTGTATGAGATGTCCAGGACTCTGAGGAAGATGTTTGCCTGGAATGCAAAAGAGTGAAGCCAGGAGACCTCCCATGAAGGTGGCCAGGGTGGCCCAGGAGGCTCGAGGTGCAAAAAACACAGACTGAGAGCAGAAGGTCAGAGGTTCCAGGTAAGAATTTTGTGGCTTGGGGCACCGGGGTGGCTCAGTCGTTAAGCGTCTGCCTTCAGCTCAGGTCATGATCTGGGGTCCTGGGATCGAGCCCAGCATCGGGCTCCCTGCTCAGTGGGAAACCTGCTTCTCCCTCTCCCACTCCCCCTGCTTGTGTTCCCTCTCTCGCTGTCTCTTTCTCTCTCTCTGCCAAATCAATCAATCAATCAATCAATCAATCTTTAAAAAAAAGAAAAGAATCTTGTGGCTTGAATGATGGCAACCAGGAGAACTGAATGAGTAGAAGCATAGCACCAAGGGTGGGTGTGGGTGTGGATGACCCTCAGAGAATGATGCAGTGATCTGGCTCACGCCCACTTGGGGACCCAAAGGCAGGTACTCTGAGGCACAGAGCAGGACTCCAAAGCGTTGTTGGGAGACTGTGATGGGGAGAAGGGCAGGAGCTTGTGGCTGCACTGGGAAGACAAAGCCTGACCTACGACTTGTGGAGCAGGATCCCTAGGTCAGCCCCGGGGGAGTGGGCCAAGCAAGGCAGCTGCTGACGTTTCCTGAGGAGAACCCCACAAATGTAGCCGGCACCAGGGGCATCCTGGCAGGGGCTAGGAGCCACCCATTCCCGAGGCCTACGAACCACAATATCCAAGGAAGCAAGTGGGATGTTTGAGAGTATGTGCTGGGACCCAAGGGTGCAGGGTGTCACCTCAGGGAAAAAAATCTGCATACGCCCATTTAGTGAGCATGTTTCACCAAACCACACGATGTCCCCCACCAGCCATATGCCTATAATATCTATAATATCCAGAGAAGTTATGCAACATTCAACTGTAGACCCTTCAGGAAGCGTCTCGAGAGTGAACATGGTGTTTTAGTCATGAAATGGGGCTGGGGAAATTAAAGTCACCAAACAAAATATTTTTTAAGCTCTTCTTAAAAGATCCAAGGCTCATTTCTGAAGAGCTGTAAAGTCAGGGGGCTGGCACCTCGGAGACCTGTCCCCACAGGACAAGCTGGATGGATAGACAGGCTGCAGGGCTGTTCATACCTCCAGTCCCCTGGCAAAGGCTACAGCTCCTGGTCCTCGAAGGTGATTCCAGCTTATATTAAGCTCGGTGAGTCCTGTATTTTCTGCCAGGGCTGGTCCAAGGATCTCCCCTTCAGAAACACCAAGACAAGCCTTATTTATTCTGTTCATTCCTTCAAAAAATGATACTATGACCACAGTGTGCCAGGGTCTCTGCTGGGCGCCAGGGTCACCAAGTTGAACCCGATATGGGTCTGCCCTGTCCTCAAGGGATTCACATTTAATGGGGGAGATACAGTTGATCTGTGAACAACATGGGGGTTAGGGGCACCAAACCCTGGTGCAGTTGAAAATCTACTTGTAACTTTGACTCCCCCAAACCTCAACGACTGATAGCCTACTGTTGACCAGAAAGAAGACCTTATCAAGAACATAAAGTGTTAATACATTTTGTAAGTTATATATATTAGATACTGTATTTTTTATTTCTAATTTAATTTTTTAATTTAAATTCAATTAGATACTGTATTCTTACAATAAAGTAAGCTAAAGAAAATATTATTGAGGAAATCATGGGGCACCTGGGTGGCTCAGTAGGTTGAGTGTCCAACCCTTGATTTTGGCTCAGGTCATGATCTTGGGGTCGTGAGATCAAGCTCCACCACTGTGGAGTCTGCTTGAGATTCTCTCTCTCCCTCTCCCTCTGCCCCTCCCCCTCTGTGTGCTCCCAATTTCTCTCTCTCTCTCAAATAAATAAATCTTAAAAAAAGAAAATCATAAGAGAAAATACACATATACTGCTGTACTGTATTTATTTTAAAAATTGCATACAAGTGGACCCATGCAGTTCAAATCCATGTCCAACTGTAAACACAAATTAATGGGATATGAGCTATTATAGATTACAAACAGGGATGTGTTGGAACAGGGTAGGGACAAACCCTGCCTTAGGAGGGGTGCCAGGAAAGTGGGGACAGAGAGATAACCTTGAAGACTGAGGGTCTCACCACCTGTATATGCACGCACAGCGGAGAACACACACAGGAAAGAGCAAATGTGCGGAGGCATGAGGGAGCATGGAGCACTTGTGGAAATGCCCACAGGCCTGGTGAGTGGGGGAAAGCCACTGAAATGAGGTAGGAGTGATGGGCACTGGAGAGATGCTGAGAGGCCTTCAATGCTGGGCCAAGGCTTTGGGGCACCAACTAGTTAGTGGTGAGTAGGCAGGGAGGGCTTTAAGAAATGGCAAAGCTGGGTTCCTTAGCGACAGGTGTAGGGTATGGACTGAGGTGAGCAGGGGCATAGTTGAGAACCCAGGGGACCAGTTGGAAGGCTTGTGCCATAGTTTATAGGCAAGAGGTGATGAGGCTGGTGCAGCTGTGTGGAGAGAAGGCACCTGTGGCAGAGAAAGGAAGGAGGGAGCAGTGCAGGGTAAGAAACCTGGAGAGATTTTTAGCATGCAAAAATGGACAGAAGCCCCACCCACCCATCATGTTCTCCACTCTGTCAGCATTCAGCCAGTCTGACCTACTCCCAGTGCTCAAAAGCACCAGCACCAACATGACTCTGGGCTGTCCCCCTGGGTAGAACTGTTGACCCCCTTCTTCACCTGGCTAACAGCTCCTCATCCTTCTAACCTGGGTTCACAGCATCAGAAAGTCTTGCCTGCCCAGCTGGGCTGTGTTGCCTCCGGCCCCATGTCCACTGTGCTTCCATCCTTCCAGGCCCTGGTCTAATTACCTCTCTTTGCCTGGTCAGTCTCTCCCACCAGCCCAGGAGTACCTCAAGGATCTGAATTTGATACCTCTCCATGGTCTCAACTCCTCATGTGGTTTAGTAAGGCTAGTTTGAAGAAAGGCACAGAGGAAAAACAGATGCTCTAACTGAGCAGAACTAGCTTGCTTGGGGGCACCTGGCTGGCTCAGTCAGGGGAGCATGTCACTCTTGATCTCGGGGTTGTGAGTTCAAGCCCCACCTTGGATGCAGAGATTACTTAAAAATAAATTCTTTAGGGAAAAAAAAAGGAGGAAAAGAAAGAAGGAAAGAGAGAGAGAAAGAAAGGAAGGAAGGAAGGAAGAAAAGAAAGGAAGAAAGGAAGAAAGAAAAAGAAAGAAAGAAAGGAAGGAAGGAAGGAAGGACGGAAGGAAGGAAGGAAGGAAAGAAAGAAAGAAAGGAAAGAAAGAAAGAACGAATGAACTAGCCTGCTTGGCCAGAACCCACTGCAGCAGGATGCTTTTTAGCACCTTGGAGAGCTCCCTGCAAGGCAGCTGGGACTCCCTGTGCGGCCTTCCCTCTGGATTCCAAACCCAGCACTGGGTCTGACACCCAAAGATTCTCAGGTACAGGTATGCACTTTCTCCCTTCCTCAGACACTTCTAGGGCTGGGAGGAGAGGGTGGTGGTCCCCACTTTGTAGGGAAGCCCCTTCTTTGCTGAACAACTTGAGGGTGAGAAGGTTTCTCTACGTACATGAATTGGCGTCTTGAAATTCCAATGCTTGGACTTCATGACCTCTGTGGCCAACTATGAGGTAGGTGCTACCTTCACCTTGGGTCAGATGGGGAGAATGAAACCCAAGCTCTTCACCCTTCAAGGGAGTCAGGCCCACCCACAGATTCCCACTTGAGGAAACAAAATGATCCTGCTGAGTTTGTCCTTTTCTGAGCTGAAGACCTCCCTACCACATATTTGTGCAGCTTTTACAGGGCCCTAGCTTCCTGCCCTCTCCATTCTGGCTGCCTCTCTGGTGTTTGCCTTTTCACTGTGAAGGCCCAGGGGGACATCTATACTCAGTTCGTTGGAAGTCTGAAATGATTTTATTTATTTATTAGAGAGAATGAGCAGAGCGAGGAGCAGAGGGAGAAGGAGAAGCAGACTCCCCGCTGAGCAGGGAGCCTGACGAGGGGCTCTATCCCAGGACCCTGGGATCGTGACTGAGCCGAAGTCAGGTGCTTAACTGACTGAGCCACCCAGGCGCCCCTGAACTTCTCTTTTAATTTCACAGTCTTCTCATAATAATTTTCTTAGAAGGTAAACAGGTTCTCTGGCAGTTAAATTCTAAGGCTGATCCTCAAAGACCAAGGTTGGTACCACCCCCACTCTAAGCTGCTTGAGACAGGACAGCGATTCCCAAACTTCCTTGATCAGACAAATCTCCTAGGGCACCCATTAAAATGTAGATGCATGGGCCTCGCTCCACCAAGATTCTGGCTCAGCAGGTCCAGGGCCCAGGAATCTGTGTTCCTAACCCAGGGTCCCAGGTGATTCCTATAATTGATTGGAGTGGTTGAGGTCAGACAGGTAGAAGTGCATGCTCCTAGCAAAGCAGATAGCCTGTGCAAAGGTCCTGGGACAAGAAAGTGGTGAGATCAAGGAATCCCATCAATGTCTTCCACAGTGCTTGCAATAAAATCTTCATGCCTTTTGCCAAGATTTGTAGGCCTGCAGCCCTCCGCTGCCTCTTCAGCTCATAGCGTAGCCCCTCTCTCCTGGCTCACTAGCCCAGCCACACCAGTGTCTATCAGTCTGGGAAATAAGCCTGCATGTTCACTGTTCCTCTGCTTGAAATGCTCTCTCCCTGGTCATCTCACAGAGCCCTCCCCAGCCACCCGTCTAAGGCAAGGGTCCCCATTCATCTCTAGAATCATGCCCTGTTTGTTTATTTTGTTGCACCAATAATTATGGAGAATTATCTTGTTCAAAGGTGTTCCTTGAGGCCAGGGACTCTGTTTTGTTCACAACCAGGTCACTAGTAGCTAAATGAGCACCCAGCACATACAGTAGCAGGCAATGGCAATCTGTGAAGAGATTAAGAGTTCTGTGTGGAAGGAGTGGGAGAGGGGCAGGCCAAAGTGGGACATGGGAAACAGGAGCCAGAGTACGAATGTTCAGAGCGGTGCTGCCATCCTCCACCCGCCCCTGCCCCAGGAAGATGGGCTTGAGGGCCCCATGGTGGCCCTGGCCGGATGTTACCTGCGTGGTCAGTCAGCTGGTTATAGCTCAGGTCCAGGGATTTCAGTCCCGTGTGGGCCAGCAGGAGTTCAGCAAGGTACTGGGCTGCATGCTCCTCCAGGCCGTTCCCTGCCAGTTGCACCTTCTGCATGGTTGGGTTCACCGCGAGGGCAGCACAGATCGCCTGCGCTCCCACCACGCCCATCTGGTTCTCTGACAGGTCCACATCTAGGGGTTGGCAGCACTCCTCCATCAGTGGGATCCAAAGCCAGGCACCACCCTCTTCCACCTTCCTCTATCCCCCAAACCTCTAGGCCTGAGGCAGCGGAGGAGGCAATACAGCTGGACTACCCTGGGGTTGCCCGGTGACTCTGCCTCTCATCAGCTGCATCCATCCCCTCAGGCCCCAGGCAGCTTCTCTGATGCCCACACCCTCTCCATGCATCCACAAGCTTCTTTGTCTAGGGGCTCAAACCGCCTACTTCATGGTGCTGTATAGGATACCTGTGATGGCGAGGCAGCCACCCCGTGGATGATTCATGCCTGGCAGCAATATAACACACCCACAGAAGTCTTCACCGATGAATTTCTGGGAACTAGCAATGACAGCCCAGGTGGCCGTGCACAGAGCACGTACGTGAGCCAGGCACCTTGGTGAGCCCTTCATATGTGGTTTCATTGCATACTTAGCACAGCCCCAAGGGCTAAGTGCTACTGTTGGGGCCATTTCACAGATTGAAAACTAAGGCTCAGCAAGGTGGAGCAGCTTGCCTGGGGCCCCCTCACTCATCAGCGGTAGAGGTGGCGTTTGCATCCAGCCCCACTTCATATCCACCCAGCCTTCCACTGCCTCACATCGCCCATCCCCTGCCTCTCTGTTGGAGGACTCTCTCATCCAGCATTTAGGCAATAGGAGGCCACCATATGCAGGGGGTTGCTGGCCAGAAGAGAAGGGGAGTGGGGGGCGGACTGGGTTAGGAGAGGAGTAGTATCCAGCATTGGGGGCACCACAGAGAGTCTACCTCCACCCGCACCACCCCACCCTGTGATGAGGCCCCTGCCCCAGCAACGCCAACAGGCCCCGGGTGAGAAGGCCCAGCTGTGGGGGAGCCCACACCCCCCAGGAAAGGGAAGACTCAAATCTGCCCACCTGCTCCACGCTCAGCACCTACCACAGATAGTGCTGCTTTTGCTCAGGGCACCTGCCAGGGCCTCCACGCCGGCCCCACAGAGCCCATTGTCTCGAAGGTCCAGCCGCTTGACATAGGGATTGGAGGTCAATGCTGAAGCCAGAGCCCGGGCACCCTGGGACAAAGAGGGACCTGAGGGACCTGGTCCTTCCCAGGGGTGAAGGCCCCAGACACAGCTGGCCAGTACCCTGGCTCATTTCCAGGACTCAGCCCACCCAGTGCCCTCCAACTAGAAGGCCCTCCCCTTCCCACATGCCCAGGGGACATCTTCTTATCCTTCTAGGCTCCACCCAGATCTTACCTCCTGGAACCTTCCCTGACTGCCCCCTCCCCAGCAGGTTAGGGGCCCCCTGCAGACCCTCCAACCCTTACACTGAATTCTGTCATAGCCCTGATCCCACCTGTCACCCAGAAGTGGGGATGGGACATGTCTGACACAGAGCAAGGCCACGGAGTATGTGGTATGGGCTCAAGAAGGGGCCACTCCCATGGCTGCTGCCTCCCAGGTCCTGTCACTCCAAGCCTGGTCCCAGGGTCTCTCCAGGGTTACCTGGGGCCCCAGGCCATGGTGCCTCAGGTTCAGCTCTGGGGTGCTCCCTTGGCGCAGAAAGCAGGAGGCAGGCACAACACTATGGGCCTGGCAAGACCTCAGGTAGAGGGTGTCCTTGACCAGTCCTCCAGGCCCACGGATACCTGATAGGAGAAAGGGAGATGATGAATGTGGATCCCTCTCCAGACACAGTCGCCTACTCCCCTGCCCTGTGTCACCATGCAGCCCATGTTCCCCTCTAGAGGCATCTTTTCCTGTGCTAGGAGGGACACTGAAAGTCAGAGAAAGCAAATCCTTTCCCTAAAGTCACACAGCTAGTAGTAGTTAATCCTGGCATAGAACCTTTCCCGTCTGATGCCAAAGTGCATGCTGTGTCTTTTCCACTGGATTGCAGAACACATGTTTTGTGACTATTTTATGGGGGAAGAAATTGAAATAATTCTAAGTTCTATACATTTATTAGCTTAGTTGTTCCTGTGGGTTGGGAAAACCCAGCCCTGATCCTATTTCGGGGTGGGACACCCCTTGTTACATTGTTTGGCGGGGTTTAACATCACTCACTTTGGAGGCGTTTTCTGAAGGTGCAACTCCTGATGCCCCCAGGAGCATTGTGGGGAGAGCACGGGGTTGGCTGGAGGGGCCGCCCGCTGTCCCGAAGGTGTCCCACGGAGGGGTGCGCTCCCTCCTGGACAGGGTTCCCTTGCCCGCTTGGCCCCAGCCTGCCCCCTCCAGCCCTGCGGGAGAAGCGCCCTAGGTGAGGAGACAGCACCTTCCATCTCCCGGTCGGAGTCTGAATCAACGTCTGAACACTCCTCGGCCTCCGGGGCGCCTGCAAGACGCCCAGCGGCCGCTGCCACCTCTTCCTCCTGCTCTTCCTTCTCCCCGGACCTCTTGCTGGGAGCCCTCATGGTTACGCCCATTTCTCAGTCGCTGGCACTGAGGCGGCAACAGGGCGGCCAGCACCTAGAGCGTTGCCCGGGGATATGGGCGGACCCTCCGGCTGCGTTGACCAATCGAATGTGGCGCACAGCGAACAGGCGCCCGCTGCAACCAATAGAAACGCGCCTCCCCGTAGCCGTCGCCCGGGCAACCCTGTGTTGTTGGTGGCTACAGAAACCGCCGCTGGCGTGGGCCGACCTTTCGTCTACTCAGTCTGGGCAGATGAGAGCGTGCGCCAGGGTTCCAGCATCGCCCCCACACCTTCCACGGACTGGGGAACGTGGCTGACTCCAAAGCCTGTGCTTTTTGTCCCTATGGCCTGCGGGCGCGCTGCGCAAGAGAGCCTGGGGAACCTTGCAAAGCCCGGTCACCCTCCCCTCTGGAACCAGAGTCACGCTCTCACTCCGTGGCTGCCAATTCTCTCTCATGCTCTAGCGTCGCATATGCTGCTTGCTCCACCAGGAACATTCCTCTCCAACTGTGCTTGTTGAACTTCAGAATCTGCAAGTGTCAGCTCAGAGGTCACTTTTTTTTTTTTTTTAAGATTGTATTTATTTATTTGTCAGAGAGACAGAACACAAGCAGGGGGAGAGGCAGGCAGAGGGAGAAGCAGGCTCCCCGCCGAGCAAGGAGCCCGATGTGGGACTGGATCCCAGGACCCTGGGATCATGACCTGAGCCGAAGGCAGCCGCTTAACCGACTGAGCCACCCAGGCGTCCCGAGGTCACTTCTTCTTGAAGCTTTCCTTGACCCCTTCTCTGGGCTCCTGCAGCCCCCAAGCTGCCCTCTCACAGTACCTATTGATGAGGGAACAGAAGGCAAGCTGAGGACTAAGCCGAAGCTGGCGCCGTACAACCCCCCACCCCCCTTTGGGATATATGTGACATTCCTCAGGCACTCCTGGCTGCCCTAAAGGAAAAACAAATGGTTAACTGATAGAGATCACAGTCTTGCAAGACAGGAGTCTCCCTCAGTTTACAAATGTCCTAGTGATTTACAAGGAAGAGGCTTTCAATAGCCTAACTTCCAAGAGACCCATAACTCAGTTTCCTGAAGCCCTAACATCACCCTCCCCTCCATAAACTGAAGGGAGACTGAGATGCAAGGAAATGTAAATAAAATTGAATTTCTTTTGAACCTAAAGCCCACTGACAAGGACTTGTGATAGGAGGAATGTAACATTCCTCCAGGAAACTCCCAACTGTCTTCATGTTAGTGCCTCCTTAGAGGGGAAAACAGCAGTGGCTTGACAATAACCAGGCCTCCAGTATCCTGAGAGTCTTTAGCAAATGACAGTCCTTCTGGGCACCCCCTTTGTCCTCACCTCCCCAACTCCTGAGTATGTAATCAGCCCCTCCTCAAGACCACAGGGCAGCCCCTCTCTCTGCCCACGGGGCCTGTCCCTGTGCTTTAATAAACCACCATTTTGCACCAAAGACTCCTCAAGAATTCTTTCTTGGTCGTCGGCTCCAGACTCCACCCCACTGAACCTCACCTATACTCCCAAACTGCATCACCTATGACACTTGTCATCTCCTCCTCCCTCCCTCCCCCAAGGAAGTGAGGCCAGAGGGTAGGGTTGCAGAGGCTTCTCCTCTCTGCGGGGGCCCTGGGCCCCCTCAGAAGGAGAGGGTGGGAGGTCCTGGGCAGCCAGGGGTTGGGACTGAACCCAGGGCTGGGGGGTGGCGGCTGGATCCTGTCCCCAGTGGAAGTGTCCCTTTAATAGCTTGCTGGCCTGGGCCAGCTAGGGCTCCTGCTTTACTTCCCATTCAGCGGTGTTTGCAGCTGCTGTGCTGACTCATGCACCCCAGCAGCCCACAGGAGCTGGAAGCATGGGCTCCGCAGGGGCCTTGGCAGGCTGGGGGCTTCTGGATTACAAAACGGAGAAGTATGTGATAACCAGGAATTGGCGGGTGGGCGCCCTGCAGAGGCTGCTGCAGCTTGGGGTCATGGCCTACGTGGTAGGGTAAGAGAAAGACTCCTGGGCCACACTTGGCTGGGGGGATAATGACTGGGCCTGCTGGGCTGAGGGTTGACGGTTTGACTCTTCAGGGGCTGAGCTGGTGGTAGCAGAGGGGAGCAGGTTGGGATAGGGAGGAAGTAGGCAGAGGGAGGATCTTTGTCTGTCTAGAAGCCAGTGGATACAAGAGCAAGCTGTGGGCCTGGGTCCTCCTGTGTGCCCACCTCCTTCCTCTCCTGGGCCTTGTTTCCAGGCCCATACTGATCTCTGGGCACAGAGCAAGATGCGTCCCTATCTGTACCAGGAGGCCCCTGGTGGGGCAGGAGGTATAGTCCCTGATGCTTGGGAGAGCTGGGAGACCACCAGTTTTAGCTGGGTCAGGGGAGTCTTTAAGGAGGACTTGGGCCTAGCCAGGGCAGGGGGCGGGTGTTGGCTGGTGAAAGAGGTGGTGGTGGGCATCTCCAAGCCCACGAGTGCCTGATAGGGGACACCCATGAAAGGCACTGGCTGTCTGATCATGGTTGGAGCTTCTGGCCTGTGCAGGGTGTTTGGGGTGGGAAATGAGGCTGGAGGGGAGGCAGGGGCCCTGCATGCTGGGCTGGGAGCCTGGAGGGTGTGTGAGGAGAGAGGCCGAGAGGGTGGGGCCCGCTCTGCCACTGCTCACCATGGACCAGAGACAGGCCACACTGCCCATCGCTTCTTCCTAAGGTGGGCTCTCCTCGCCAAAAAAGGATACCAGGAGCGAGATCCGGACCCCCAGATTTCCGTCATCACCAAACTCAAAGGGGTTTCGGTGACCCAGATCAAGGAGCTGGGTCACCAGCTGTGGGACGCGGCGGACTTTGTGAAGCCACCACAGGTAGGTGCCTTGGTCCTGCTGCCAGGCAGTGACACCCCTGACACCACCCTTGTGGCGAGTGTGTGCGTGAGGGGCACATGAGGCCCGAGCAGGGTATTGGCACCGCATAGGGTCGGGCTTGGGAAGGGCCTTACAGAGGAGCGGTGCCTGGACGGGGCTTTCCGGGATGTGTAAGAGGTTTCCGGGTGGACAGAAGCCAGGTCAGAGGAACTGTCTTTCTAAAGGCTGCCCCTGGAAGAGTGGAATGTTTAGGAACTCAAGGCTGGAGCTTGAGGATGGGGCGGGAGAAGTGGAGGGGACCAGGGTCTGAGCTTCCTGAATGCTCCCCTCCCTGACCTGGGGCATGGCTCTCAGGTGCTCCTCCTCTGCCCCTCCCACACAGCATTTCCAGCTCCTTCTTCCCCCACCCAGATTGTCCACAGCTTCGGTTTCTACCTTTATCCTGCCAATGCCAAAACTGTAGCCCCAGTGACTGCCTGCCCCAAGTGCCACCTGCCTCCTGGGTGCATATCCACCACATCCAAAGAGGAATCATCTCCCTCTCCCGGCGTGGCCTCTTTTCATCCAGTGAGGGCCAAAGCTGGACCTGTGCCTCCCTTCTGTGCATATTCCGTTTCCTAGCAGTGTTCACTGCTGCCTGGGTCATACCTGGATGAGGCCGTGAGCTTCTAGTGGGTCCCCGGTGCACGCCGCCCAGCAGCCAGCCTGAGCTTTCCTATGTGATATCAATCAGAGCCTGCCAAACCTTGTTTCCACTCTGGGAAGACTCCTTTTCCATGGTGGTGGCCACCAAGTCCAGATCTTGACCACTGTCACACCCGCTGCCTTCTCTCCTTCCTGGGTGTGCATTGCCCCAAACTTGCAGAGCTCACACACGCAGCACTTGGGTGTCAGCCACCCGGCCTGTCCTTAGTCACCCTTTGCCCAGGTGGAACTCATCACCTGCTCCACTCGGCCCTGACTATGCGTGCAATTGAGGGGTCCACATCCCCTTTACCTTGGGCAGGTCCCCAGTCCAACTCAGCTCTGGATCTTCAGTGCCTAGAAGCAGGAGGCGCTTGGACAATTCTGGTTGAGAGAATGAGTATGAACATGAAAAATACACTTGTCTCAAAAAGGCAGCTGTGGGCTTCTCGAAATGGCCAGAAACCCAGCCAGCTTCTTATCTCTACTTCAGCTGGCTTCACTGGAGGTACTTTCCTGACTTGATCAGGCCAGGACCCTTTTCCCCACCAGCCAAGCTGCCAGTTCTGGCCTCTCCCTTTGGGGGAGGGAAGCAGGGACCAACCCTGACACTTGCTTTCTAGGGAGAGAACGTGTTCTTCTTGGTGACCAATTTTCTCGTGACACCAGAACAAGTTCAGGACAGATGCCCAGAGGTAAGCCTGCCCAGGAGCTTCCCAGCAGGTCCCTAGTTCCTCTGCCAGCCCTGGGTCACCAGCCATGTCCCCCGTTCTCCTTCCCACGTAACTGAGGGTTCAGTATGTGCTCCTGTATGTCAGGCACTGAGCTAAAACCTTTTCGTGAATCATTCCACTTAATCTTCACAAATACCCTGCTGGTAGGAATTACTGCGATCCCATTTAAGATGAGAAGATAGGGTCTCAGCAAGGTAGACTCTCGTGCTCAAGGCTGTCCAGCCTCTGGACCTCTGAGCTGTCTTCTGGAGCCTTCCACCGTAGCCCTCTGTGAGATGTCCTGGCCCTTCCCGCCCTGGTCCCACCTCTGGGCACCCTTCAGGTTGTCAATGTAACACCCAGAATTGGGTACAAGGCTCAGGTGAGCTCTAATAGCAAGAGGCTAGATCACCTTCTCTTTTCTTCTTTTTTTGTAAGATTTATTTATTTATTTTTAGCGAGAAAGAGCGTGGGCAAGCGTGAGCAGGGGTGTGTGTGGGGGTAACTGGTGCAGAGGGAGAGAAAGAATCCTGAAGCAGACTCCCTGCTGAGCGAGGAGCCCCATGTGGGGCTCGATTCAAGGACCCTGAGATCATGACCTGAGCCAAAATCAAGAGCCAGCCTCTTAACAAACTGAGCCACCCAGGCGCCCTAATCACCTCCTCTTTTCTATGTGCAGTCTCTATTAATGTGTCCCAAGTCAGCTTCCATTTTTGTGGCCAAACACAGCACACTCCTGCTGATGCTGAGCTCAGGGTCACTTATGATCTCTGGATATTTTTCACTACAACTGTGGTCACACCAGAGTCTCTCACCCCCTATTCTTGTCTATTTCTCATCCAGAATCACAGGTTTTCCGCCTGAAATCTCACCTTTTCCCCTTGCCTGAGGATGTCCCACAGATCCAGTGTCTGTCACAGAGCACACTTACTCTTCTCTCCAGCTGTGGGGTTTTTTCCAAAAATTTTTTTACTGTGATAAAATACATGTGACATAAAATTTACCTTCTTACCCATTTCTACGTGTATGGTTTCCAGCTGTGGATTTTGTTTGAGCAGTTGGCACCCAACACATAGCCCTGGAAGCCTACCTCCATGGTGACCTCTTTTTAAAATCCAGCCTGACATTTAATTGCTTACGGGGCTGGAGAGTAACTGTGTGGTCACCTGTCCCCTATGTCCTGGTTGTTGGTGCCACCACAGATGCTGGGGGTGTCACATGTCCCAGGCTGGCCCCGTCCGCAAAGGAGGTAAAGCATGTGTACAAAGGATGTGCAAATGCACATGATGTCTTTCTTTTACTAAATGTTCAGAAGACATCTAATTAATGTTGAGTGTGTAGGCTGTCCTGAAATTTCGCTGAAGCCATCATTCTGCGTTTTCTGGAATCCATGTGATTCCTCTTTGCCTCATGTCCCGGCTTTGAGCTCTTCCCATGAAACTTCCGGGGCTGGGAAGGAATTCATCAGATCTGACAACATGACTTCCTGAGACTAGCCAGCGTTCCTGCCATCTCCTCTCGGGGGTCCTGGTCATCCGGTCCCTCCCAACACATGCACTGTTCTTCTTGGAGAGTCCAGCCTCCAGCAAACACCTGCTGAGCCTCCGGACGGGTTGTGTGTGTGTGTGGGTGGGTGGGTGGGGGGCAGGCCCGATGCTGGGGATGCAAAACTCCGCCGCTTGTATCTCAAGCAGCTCTTGCATAGGCAGCCCAGCCAAGGAGGCAGTTCCTGGGATGCAGGCAGAGCCCATAGCTGGAGACGCAGGGAGGCATGTCTGCTGGCCCAGGGCCTCAGGAAGGCTTTCCCACAGGACTGGAGACTCAAGTGGGATCTTGAGAATGTCCAAGCAGAGGGAGCTGTGTGAGCAAAGGCCCCAAGCTCTGTGAGATGAGGCACCTCCGGGGTCACCTGCTTCAGAGTGGGGTTGGAGCCTAGATTTGGATTGAGGTGGCGAGGGGGTAACCCGAGATCTCAGGGGCCCTGTGAATTCTGCTAAGGAGCTGAACTTGATCACAGGAGTGCAGCGGAGGCCGAGATGGTCTCTGCTGAATGAATGGAGGCAGATGACGCAGAGACCAGGCCCTGTGGTGGTCATCATGGGGTCCGATTGGAGGAGATGGCAGCCCAGCCGGGGCGGGGGGGAGAGGAGGGGCGGACTCAGGACACAGGTGGCCCTACTCTGTCCTCTGCCCACTTGTCACAGTCCCCACCCCTCACGGTCCCACTGTCTCATTTGGCCTAGAGTCCCCGAACCCTTCTTTCCACCGTGGCACTGGGCTCGTGAGCCAGGTGACCCGAACCATGGCGTTCATTGTCAGCCTAGGGCGGAATGTATCTGTGAGAGTGTGCTTTCCTCTCCAGGCTCTAGGGCCCCCAGAAAGCTTGCCACCTCCCCCTTCTGACTGACCCCTAGAATAGTGTGAGCGTGCAGGCGCTAATGTCCCTGTTTTATGGAAGAACAAACAGTGTGTGTGGTCCTACCCACTTCCCTACCCAGACCCCTCCAACCAGGGCCCTGCCCTTTGTTCCCCACACCCAGTCCCTCCACCCTGGCATGAACTTGCCCTTCGCAGAGTCCCTTCACCTTCCCTGTTCTGTCATCTGAGTTGGACCAGAGGATCTGGGCCTCCAGCGGGGAGAGAACTATCAGGAAGGAAGGAAGCTTGCTCTGCCTTGGAATACAGCACCTGAATCCCTAGCTGGCCGGGGGGCTGCTCGCTACTCTCCTCTGACCACCTCCTTTTATTTGTACCCTCCAGCTTTCCCATGTGCCCCCCCAAACTCAGGCATCTCTATGGGGCTAAGGCAGTGGGGGCCGCACCTGCAGGCTTCAAGGCTGGGTCATAGAGGGGAGCCATACCCCGGGCCCTTGGCAACTCTGCTTTCCCCACCTCAGCACCCCTCCATCCCGCTGGCTAATTGCTGGGCCGATGAGGACTGTCCTGAAGGGGAGACAGGGACGCACAGCCACGGTAACTGTGGGCCCTGTCTTCCAGTGCCTCCCCTGGGTGGGGGCTCCAGGGGCTGGGCTGGGACCCTGGGTGGCTCTTGAGGGCAGGCCTGGTGGTGCCTCTGCGTCTCTCCTTTCTGTCAACGGCCCCCTGGCCCTACCCCCGCCCCTCCCCTGGCCCTGTGGAAATTTGAGGGCCTGGAGTTTGTCTTGTTTTTTCAAGGCATAAAAACAGGCCAATGTGTGGAATTCAACGGGACCCACAGGACCTGTGAGATCCAGGGCTGGTGCCCTGTGGAGAGCAGCACTGTGCCCGAGTAAGTGTGTCTCCCCCGCCCCACCCCCGCCCAGGACAGGGCCCCAGAACCGCAGAGCCTGCCCTTCACTTCCCCTCTGCCCGCAGGAAGCCCCTACTGTTCCAGGCAGAGAACTTCACCCTGTTCATCAAGAACACTGTCACCTTCAGCAAGTTCAACTTCTCCAAGTAAGCGTGGGTGGGTCCTGCTGGCCCCAGACCCTCCTGGTCTCCTACCTGGCCTGACCCCCCCGTCCCATCCCCCACCCCCCAGGTCCAATGCCTTGGACACCTGGGACGCCACTTACTTCAAGCGCTGTCGCTATGACTCACGCTACAGCCCCTTCTGCCCTGTGTTCCGTATTGGGGACCTCGTGGCTGCGGCTGGAGGGGTCTTTGAGGACCTGGCACTGCTGGTGGGTCCATGGGGGGCAGGGTTCCAGGAGGGCTCAGGGAGAGGGTCCGGAGCCTATGTGCCAGTGAAGCAGCGATATGCCGTGTGCAGGGAGGTGCCGTGGGTGTCCGAGTCCACTGGGATTGTGACCTGGATGCTGGGGGTTCCGACTGCCGGCCCCACTACTCCTTCCAGCTTCAGGAGAGGAGCTACAACTTCAGGTGCGGCCCCCACTACCCTCTAGCTGCTCCTTGGCCAGGTCACCCCTCCACCTGTCCTCCTGTGGCAGCCAGGACCCACCACACGGTGGCCCACCCCTCCGGGCACTCCACTGTGTGTGCAAGCAGGGCCCCAGGCCCAGGAGGGGTGTTCTCAGCCTCTCTCCTGATCCGGTCCCCTCTCTGTCCCTTGGGACTCCTCACCCCCAGCCCCCCCCCCACTACACCCCCCCCCCCAGCCCCGCGCCCAGCCTCTCCCTCCTCGGCACAGGGGCGTTTCTTTTTTACTTTTGCCTTAGGTCTTATCTAAAAATTCTCAAAAACCTATAGAAAAGTTCAAAGATTGGTACTGTGCACACCCGTACCCATACACCCTTTATCTGGGTTCTCTAGGGTTTTTTTGTTTTGTTTTGTTTTGGGTTTTATTTTTTACCATTTTGCCACATTTGCTTTCTCTCTCTCTCTCTAGAGTAAGCTGGGTTTATTTATTTATTTATTTATTTATTTATTTATTTATTTAGATTAATTAAAATATGTATTGAGCAGCTAGGGAGATACAAAAGTGATTAAAACATTGTCAAAGAGGTGAGGCAAATGCACACATCATAGAAAGCCAGTGTAAGGGGTCACCGAATCACAGCAGTCAAAAGAAAAGTGCTTTAGGAGATCAAGAATGAGATTGCTTCCAGCCGGATATATGTAGATAGATTTCAACGGGAACTATTTGAAAGTGAGTGGCAGAAGAATGAGGACCTCCGCCACGTGACTGCTGTCCCCTTGTCACACTCAAGAAATTTAACATTGGCAGAGGATATTTAAATTTCCCCAACTGTGCCAGTAATAGTCTTGTATCTTTTTATCTTCCAATCCGGGATGCACTCAGGGATCCTGCATTGCATTTACTGTCGCATCTCTGAGTCTGCTAAACAGGCCCCCCCCACCCCCGCCCCCGCCAGTATCCTCCTGTCACTTCCTGGTCATTGTCACGAATATGCACACAACAGCCACCAGGCCTGGAGGTGATGCCCCTTGACGTCCCCTTCACCCTTTAGACTCACACAGCCCAGGGCTTGCCTCCCTACCTGCCCTCACCCCCACGACCAGTGCCTGTGCAGGGACCCTTCTGTCCCCTCTGTCCCCTCAGCAGGCAAGGAGCTTCCAAGAGGCAGGTAGGTCCCAGTTTGCCTTTCCCCTGTGTTCCCAGCAATGATACAGGGTTGAGACAGCTGGGACTGGGGGTTTATAGAGTCAGTGGATGTTACCCATCCAGGCAGGAGGCCTGGAAGGGCGGGGCCAGCCCAGGAGTGACAGCAGCGCAAGCCACCACACTTTCTTTCCTGCTCTCAGGACAGCCACTCACTGGTGGAAGGCCTCAGGTGTGGAGGCCCGGAGTCTGCTCAAGCTCTATGGGATCCGCTTCGACATCCTCGTCACTGGGCAGGTAGGAGGTGCTAGGTGAAGGCAATGGGGGGTGGGGGTGGGAGGGGGAGATAGTCACAGCCCCAGAGGCTCAGTCCAGGTCGGTCTCAGGCAGGGAAGTTCGGGCTCATCCCCACGATCATCACTCTGGGCACCGGAGCAGCTTGGCTGGGTGTGGTGAGTCTGGCCAATGTGGGCTCCCTCTGGCTACAGCGACTGTGTACCCAGGCCGGCCCAAGTGCACACCGAGCACCCCGACCCCCACCGTGCATGATGTTGAGTCTGGGGGTGAGGGCTGGGGAGGTGGCCAAAGGGCAGCCTGAAGGCCAAGACACGGGTCTGCCCCGCCTCTCCCAGATCACTTTCTTCTGTGACCTGCTACTGTTGTATGTGGATGAAGAAGCCCATTTCTACTGGAGTACCAAGTATGAGGAGGTGAGCTGCGGGCCTGTCCGGGCCCTGGACTCGGCTACACTTTGGAGGATACTGACCAGAGCCCTGATCTGATGTTCTCATCTGCAGGCAAAGGCCCCGAAGGTGACCACCAACTCTGAGCAGACAGAGCCAGCTTCTACACCCCCGCATGTGGCTGCCCAGGTGTCTTAGAGGGGGCCCAGTCTAGGAATCAGACACCACCACCAGAGTGGCCCATGTCCAGGCTCCGGGCCCCACTCACTGGCCTGTTCCTGAGGCTGTTTCCTGCTGGTTGCCGGGTGGGGACCCCGTCTTGGGGACCTGCTGGATAAAGCCCCAGCCGGACCAGGGTGGGAGGTTGGGGGAGAATTCCACCCTTCCACTCCCAGACAGACTGACCCTCTCCTGACTCCAGCTTCAGCAGGGTGCTGCCTGGGGGGGCCAGAGAAGCCAGTTTTGTATAGAGACCCACAGCAGAACAGGAGCCGCGGAGAAGGGGAGACCCTGGGGCACCCACGTGGCAGGGTAGTGGGCCAGTGGGGCTCTTCCTGTGTCTAGGTCTAGAGAACTCTCTCCTAGTCTCTGTCAGCAGCGTTCCCAGCGGTAGCCTGCTCACCAGCTGTCAGCACCGGCCCTCCCACTGGCTGTGGCAGACGCCAGCCCTCCTCCATCTGCCAGCACCCCTATTGTAGGTAGAGCCCCTCCCCCTCAGCTGCGCTGCTCTGGGGGCCGTGCAACCAGAGTCTGAAGCAAGGTAGAAAGAAGCCCGACAAGAGGGGTCAGGCTGCTCTGGCGTTGGGTTGCCTGGGGCAGGTTCCTACCCAACTCTGAATGAAGAGTGGGTAGGCAGATAATCCAACCCCTAGGGACCCCCAGGCAAGGACACAGGCACCCTTTGGTCTCACACCGGCCCAGTTAATGAGCATCAGCCCCTCCCTGGTGGTGGCCCTCAGGCTATGGGGTTTGGGATAGGGAGGAGAGGGGGGAGGGCCTGAGATGGTGGTCACTGGGTCCTTTGGGATCTTCTATAAGGCTCCTCATTAACCAACCCCCTCCCCAGCCCAACCCCTAGAACCTGCTCACTGGAGCCATGGGGGTAGGGAGGCTGTACACCTGGAATTCACTGCTACCCAAGGTCATAGCCAAGAACCTGTCAGGGCATCTGCTTGTGCCAGACTGAGGCAACTGCATGCAGGAGACCTTGAATATAACCCCAGGTAGAGCCCAGTGGCTGGAAGGAATGTCCCTCACAAAGGACACAAAGGTGCCCCGCAGGCTGGCTTGGCATCTTTCTGGAGTCTGATTCCTGACTGCTGGAGAATTTCCCCTGCCCCAGAGTCCCACAGTCAGGAGGGGAGGAACAGGGGCTGCAAGAGCCAGACTCCCTGTGGTCCCAGGGCAGAGGCAGGAATTTGGGAGTACCCACCCAAGGGAGGCAAGGGGCTTCTCTCTCATGGGTCCCTGGTGACCAGGAGTGAGCTGGCAGCTTGGCGGCGGAGCCACAAAGACCAGATGGGGAGGGCCAGGGCTGGGGGCTCAGGCTGGGCTAGCATCTGGAATCATCTGGCACCTGGAGCCTCAGCAAAGCCTTGGGGGTCTCTGCTGCTTCTCAATCCCCAGAGCCGTGTTCATGGGGAGGCAGGTTCAGGAGAGCCAAGGTGAGAGAACATGGCTCTGAGGCCTGGTTATTGGAGTGGGGTCACATGTACCTGGTTGTGCTCAGGGCTCAGAGAAAGCGGTCATAGCTGCAGAAAGTCAAGGAGTAAAGCCTGCTCAAACCAGCAGCTTCCTGTGTAGTCCTTATAGGCAAGAATGGGGAGTTGGAAGCATCTATGATGGACATAGCGTGGCTTTAGGGAGACCAGTGGGGAACGGGGAAGTGTGGGCCTGGGGACCCCCCAAGGACTGGGGCCTCACAGCCACCAGCTGGGCTCGGTGGTACTTGGAGCAGGCCCAGGCCTTGTGCATCTGTACACAGGAGTGTATACCATACATGTGTGTAATATCCTGAGCCTTTATCGCAAAGCCCTTGAGGGAAGGGGAAGAGTACCAGCTGTGACAGCCAGACAGCTGTGGCCAGGGCCTGAGGCTGGAAGCAGCTGTTGCCTCAGTCTGTATGTGGGTGTGCATCATCAAGGTAGCCATGCAGGCCATGCGGGCACATGCCCCAGAGGAGCCCTGGGCAGGCTTCGGGGACATGCTACGCTTTCTGGGAGCCTTGGGAACCCAGGAGGAACCTGCAACTCCACTGCCCTTTCTTTCTTTTTTTTTTTTTTAAGATTTCATTTATTTATTTGACAGAGAGAGACAGCGAGAGAGGGAACACAAGCAGGGGGAGCGGGAGAGGAAGAAGCAGGCTTCCCGCCGAGCAGGGAGCCCGATGCGGGGCTCGATCCCAGGACCCTGGGATCATGACCTGAGCAAAAGGCAGACGCTTAACGACTGAGCCACCCAGGCGCCCCTCCACTGCCCTTTCTAGGCGACCTTTTTGGGGCCCAGGTTCTGCTCTCTGGATCTGCCCCCTCCAAGGGACATGTGGGGAGCCTGTGGTGGGGGGAGCCTGACTCTGCCCTTTTCGTGGACCCCTCCTCTCCTGGTGTGTGTAGGGGTGTATATAGCTCCCCTCTGAGCTGGGCAGAGGGCATCAGCCTGAGGGCAGGACTCCAGGACCCAGGCCGGGTGGTGTCTCCGATTCAGGGTTGTCCCAGAGCTGGTACCTCCCTCTTGCCAAACCTCGGCATCTTTGTTGTGGTATGGGGACAATCCCCTGGTTCTTGGGGTGGGGGGCAGGAAAGCACTCAGCTCCACAAGGAATGAAATGGTGGACACAGCAGCAGGGCACATGGCTGGCCAAGACGTTATTATTGTGGATATCTGGGGGCTGCGGGCCTCTCCCCCGCCCACCGTCACCCACCCCAGCCCACCCCACCTGCCCAAATAGCTGGAGTTGCTCATGAACAGGAAGGCGCTGGACAAAATATTCACCCACCACAGCACTGGCCATGGCCCACTCCCCCAAACCCAAAACTAGGCACTTGGGCTAAGGCCCCCAGGTCTCGAGGACCCCTCAGCATGAGCAGTCCTGCAAACCTGAGCTGGCTCAGAAAGAAGGGACTCCCAGCCCCTCTGGGCTCCTGAGGACGTGGGGGAGGGCAGAAGGCGCATGGACAGGCTTCCAGCTCGATTCATGGACTGGCGGGCTGCTCTGTGGGGCTGGGCTCCCGGGCGGGCACCTGGCTGGTGGGCTGCACCGTTTGTACCGTCTCCTCCAGGCTGGTGCTGGGGAACACCACGTAGCGTGTGGTGGTCAGCTCTGGCGCCTCCCGCTGGTTCTCTTTGCTGTGCCAGATGCCATAGCCAAAATACACGGCAAGGCCTGCAGGAGTTGCGAGAGACTGAGGGCCAGGTCCCAGCCCTGCTTGCCCTCCTTGCTTGCCTTCTTCCTGTGGCCCACCCAGGGCCCCAAGCCTGGCCCCCACTCACCGATCAGCAGCCAGATGGAGAAGCGCAGCCAAGTCAGGTAGCTTAGCTTCAGCATGAGGCAGATGTTGAGGAGGATGCTCAGGGCTGGAGTCAGGGGCACCATGGGGATCTGAGGGGGCAAGAACGGGGGCTGGGCTGGGCTGCAGGCAAGGTCTGCTGGCTCAGGGTCTGATTTCTCAAGAGTCCACAGAGCCTTTCTCCATCTCTGGAGATCTGGGAAACAAGAGCCCACTTGCCATGCAGAAAGAGAGAGAGATGGGTGTATGGGCCTCCCCCCACCCTGTGAACCCTGGTTCATCCTGGCACAGCAGAGGAGGAAAGGGCAAAGAGAGCTAGCTGGGCTGAGAGCCAGGGGGCACTGGCTGGGGGAGGTACCTGGAAGGTGTCTTGCTGGCGTTGTTGCTGGTGGGCCCCCAGGACGAGGAGGCTGAGCAGAAATGCGACGGAGCTGAGCAGAAGCAGCAGGATGTAGCCCCAGTATGGGAGGTGCAGGGCCGAGTCCCCGAAGACCAGTACACAGGCCAGGGTGATGGCCGAGGCCACCAGGATGCTTAGTGCCCAAGCCACAGCAGCTCCAGGGCTGCCCCTACCTAGGAAGCCCAGGAAGGGCCTCAGAGCTGGCCGCAGCTGCCCGGGCTCGGGGCCTGAGGCCTGCTCGGTGCCCACCAGCTGTATGTGGTCTGAGAAAGAGTGGTACTCTTTGACCCTGGAGCCAGGGCTGGCTGGGCCTGGGGAACTGGATGCAGGGGCCTTCTGGAAGCGTAGCACAAGAATACTGGTGGCCACGAAAGTGTAGGCCAGCAGCGTGCCAATGGACAGGAACTGGACCAGTGCCTCGAGGTCCAGCAGCAGCGCCAGTAAACTCATGAGCCCCCCGAACACAACGATGCCCGCCAAGGGCACCTGCGTCCGGGGGTGCACTCGGGCAAACACCTGGAAGAAGAGCCCATCGACGGCCATGGCATAGACGATGCGTGGCAGGGAGAAGAGGCTGCTGAGCAGGACAGTGTTCATGGCTGTGGCAGAGGGTGGGGGACTGGTCAGCATGGTGGAGAGGCCCATCAGGGGCCCCTGCTGGGAGCCAGGGCATGCACAACCCCTTGGGAACACGGGCATGAGTTTGTCTGGGATCTCAGAGTGAGCCTGAGTGTATGTGGGGTGTTGGATTGTTACCCCACCACTCCCACCCCCGCCACCAGGAATGGGACACCCTAGTTTAGGTGACAGGCCCATCAGAGAATCTGATGAGGGCTGAGTCCTTCTCCCAGGAAAGGACCTGGAAGTGCACGCTCAGAACTGACATTTCAGGTACCATTGGGAGGGGGCAATGAGTAGGGGCCTTCCAACAAGCCTGGGTGGAGAGTCAAATGATTAGCACCTCCCTGGACCCATTATGCAACTGGTAACAGACCCAGACGGAGACGTGTTCCCCGGGAAGCTTAGGGCAGGGCCCCGCTGCCCTGTTCATTCCCACCACGCGTGAAAGGCCCCTTACCGCAGATGGAGCCGGCCGCCACGATGAAGCCAGCCCAGCTGTAGCCCCGCCGGTAGAAGGCGTCGGCGAGTGCGGAGTCAGGGTTCAGGCTGTGCCACGGCACCATGAGGGTGAGCACGGTGGAGACGAGGATGTAGGCACCAGCTGCCAGGCCGAGCGAGATGGAAATGGCTATCGGCACAGCCCGCTTCGGGTTCCTGGCCTCCTCACTGGAGGCGGCGATGACGTCAAAGCCCACGAAGGCGTAGAAGCAGGTGGCGGTGCCAGCCATGATGCCGGAGAGGCCAAAAGGCGCGAAGCCCCCCTCCTCGGCACTCCAGTTGTGCGGGCGGGCCAGGATAAAACCCAGGATGATGATGAAGAGGATGAGGACCAAGCTGACCACGGAGAACGTGTGGTTGAGCCAGGAGGAAACTCGGGCTCCGCAGGAGATGAAGGCGGAGGCCAGAAGTATGATCCCAGCAGCCAGGAAGTCTGGGTAGTGGGCCAGCAGCGGCACCTGCCAGGTTCCAATGTGGGCCTCGGTGAAGTTGTGGATGCGGTGGTTGAACATGGAGTCCAGGTAGCCACTCCAGGCACGGGCCACAGCTGCACCACCAATGAGGTACTCGAGCAGCACGTTCCAGCCGATGAGGAAGGCCCACAGCTCACCCATGGACACATAGGTGAACAGGTAGGCAGAGCCCGTGCGGGGCAACCGGGCCCCAAACTCTGCGTAGCACAGGGCTGACAGCAGGGAGGCCACGGCGGCCACCGCGAAGGACAAGAGCACCGCAGGGCCGGCCATCTCCTTTGCCACAGTGCCTGTGAGCACATAGAGGCCGGAGCCCACCATGCCACCCACGCCCAGCAGGGTCAGGTCCAGCGTGGACAGGCAGCGCCGCAGTGACGTCTCCATGGTAGACTCCTCCAGTGGCTTCAGCCGGTTCAGCCTCTGGCAGAAGCGTGCCAGGCTGGCAGGGCTGGGCAGCCCCCTGACCATGATGGGCAGCTGAGAGGAGCACCACGCCAGCTGCCAGCACCTACCGGGGCCGGAGGGGAATGACAGGTTGCCCAACCAGGTATTGACCAGGCTTCAGTCTGCTCTGTTTATCCCCCTGGGGACCCAAGTGCCTGCATAGCTAGCTTTGCCTGAGGGCTGGGATCAGTCAGGAGTGGGCAGGAGGTCACAGGGAAGAATGGGAATCCTGTCTGCCTCTGGGCAGGTGAGGGAGCCTTGTGCAGCTGGACCTGGGCGCTTCTGGGGAAGGGGGGGTGGTAGCTGAGGGTGAAAAGGGTGCAGCTCCAGGAAGCGCGGTTGGGAAATGCTCCTTGGTCTGGCATCCAAGAGCAAGGTGGAAACCCCAGGCTTCCCGGGAGCTGGGCCAGGCCTCCAGGACCCGGAACAGGAGGGGCTCTGCTGTCCTGGGCGTAAACCAGGTGGCCACCTGGCCTCAGACAGTGGCACTCACCACACACACACACACACACACACACACACGCACACACGCACACACGCACACACCGCCCCAAGGACTTGGGTATCTGCGTACCCGGCGGCCAGGAGGCGGGGCGCTTTTGGCCCGGCACCCCGAAGCCAAAGCTCCGTGCCCTGCCCCCGCCCCGACAGGCCACCGCCGCCACCGTCACCGCCACGCTCCGGCCGGGGATCCGAGGCTTTGCCTCCTCTCCGGCTGGAGCATGTCCCTGCAGGAGTCGCTGAGACTCACCTGCTGTCACCGCGGCCGCCGCTGCGCACGCTGTGGCTGCGCTGCCTGGCTGACGCCGCCCGCGCGCAGAGCCCGCCCCCAGCCCTTCTGCGCCGGA